AATAATAAAAATGTCTTTCGTTACAATTTGCATTAATTTAATAAATAAATTTAAATAAAATTTATAATTACCTTAAATTACGATTCGTTCTTTGTTCGTGTACCTGTTGATGAAACAATATACAGTAAATATGAGAATAATAAAGTAATTTTTTAAACAAACAAATTAATTCAAAATAAAATTTAAATGAAAAAAAAATGTATCAAGTGCTAAATAAAACTGAGCATTAAATTAAAACTCTGAAAAATTAAATGATGTAGTTAAACTATGTAAATATTATTTTAAAAATTATTTAACGGTTGTCAACAAACGATAATTTTAAACTTAACAAAACTAATGAAAATTAAATAAAGATAACAAAAAAAAAAAAAAAAATAGAATCTAAAATCAAATTAACAAATATTATTATTTATATAATTAAGAGTAATTAAATTAAAAGACCACAAATATACTTTTTTTACTTAACAATGGGTTTAACAATGTTATTAGCTAATTTTTAATTATTATTTAACCTTTGTTATAAAAAAAAAAAATCAATTAAATTCTTTTATTAATAGACATTACCTTGACAGATGATAAGTAAAAAAAAAAAAAAAAAAAAATTTCTTAGAAGTTAACATGATAAAATGAAAACATTTTTAAAATATATACATTTTTTTTTAAACAAAAGATTAATTTATTTTATCTTGGTTATTAATTAATACTTTCCTTCCTTAAACTGTGGAACTGTAATAAAAAAAAAATTTTATCAATTTTGTCATAAAATCTTTCCAACAGGAAAGCTAAAAAAAAAAAAAAAAAACCGTTAAACAATCATGTACAATACGATTTAAATGAGAAAAAAAAATTTCCCATGCCGGGAATCGAACCCGGGCCTGCTGGGTGAAAGCCAGCTATCCTAGCCACTAGACCACATGGGATTGTTGTTACTTACAATATTTTTATCATATTTATACCAACTGTAAAAACAAAAAAAAACGTTACGTTTGACATTTGTTTTTAAATTTTAATCCGGATTATTTATTAAAAAATTTAAATTTTTTCTTAGAAATAACGCCTAATTAAAAAATTTTTTAAATAATTAATAATAATAAAATATTTAATTATTGAAAAAGACGAAGAAGAAGAAGAGGAATGATAATAATAATAATAATAATTAATTTATGATAAATATATAAACCGGTCGGATGGGTACATTTTTAAATGTGACTTGTACGTATATATTATTATTATTATTATTATTATTATTTTATTTATCGCGAAAAAAAACAAGTTTTTGTTGTTGTTGTTTTTTTTTTGTTTTTGTCAAGTGCAAAATTTATTATTTAATTTATTTATTTATTAAAAACCT